ACAAAGAGAACAATGTTAACAATCTTACATGTATGCTTATAGTTATTAAAGTTAGGGAAAAAAAGACTAGGCCTATATATCGAGTATTACAAGAATCAATATTGAAATATCAAACACACACACTGAATACTCGCTATTAGCCTATATAAAATAGTAACAAGTTTGATCTATTAATACAGTAGACCCCCTTATAACACTGTTGATAATTCCGTGTTATATGAATTTCATGTTGTACTGTACGAGTCACTTAATTTTACAAATACGTGAGCCGTTCACAGCCCGGCACACATATTTGTAAAATCTAAGTGACTCGTACATCATGGAATTCATATAACACGGAATTATCAACAATGTTATAAAGGGGTTTACTGTACCAATCATTTACACAAAATGTCGGGTAATAGTTGCAATTTTAAGCACCTTAGTATGTATACGCACACTTATACAAACAATTGGTCCAACAGTAACTTCCACTATAAAAGAACAGTGAATGCATATTCGCACTTTGTTTGTCGAAGAAATTGTCTCAAAGTTTCGAACGCAAAACTTTATTTCAATTAATTTTTTGCGGGATTCATAAATTTGCAAATAAAACAATCTAGAATTACTTTCATGTATTAAAATCTCTTTACACACAATGTTTTTTTCTTATATACTCAGTGTGCATCGCTTTTTTAAATATAAATTTCGAATTTTAGAAATGAGAAGTTACTAACATGAAATTCAATGTCATATAGTCGAACAAGAGTTGACTCTTGGTTCACTTTTGCGTCTTTAAGGGATGAAAGAATTGTTTATGAATATATACATACTCCTTTGCGTTGAATAGTCGAGTGCTCACATTGTCTTGCTATTGGTCGAAAACACTAAATGATCCAAAGCTTAAAGGGAGGAGATTGTCATCTTGTACTAAATTTAATAGTTAGAATTAAATTGAGAATATTCTTGAAAAGATAGATCCAGAGCGGGACCAAACCTGCAACTCCTATTTACCATTAGAATCATCGCTAATTATTATGCACCCGGACATCCATCACAGAAAGTTATAAATCCAGTGTTAACCCGACAGTTCAATTAATGTTAATATACAGTAGAACCTCGATTATCCGGACTAATTGGGGATGATGGTAGTCCGGATAAGGAAAAATCCGGATAATCGAAAATCCGGATAATGGAGGTTCTACTGTATATTAGTTATTCGGTAACTAAGTAATTTAGCTTCAATAGTAGCAAATATTGATATTTAGCAAATCACCACTCAATGCATTACAAATTTATCAGTTTTTCAATTCTTTATTATTTAATACATTACTATACAATTCTGTTTCATATTCTTTCAACTGTTTCATAAAACCATTGTTTGGCTTAATGGAAGATCTGGCATTTTTTACATGTTGACATGCCTCTTTAAGTGTCATCTTTTGACGATTCATTAAATATCCAATGACAATTGTTGCTGCTCTGGATACTCCAGCATTACAATGAACTAAAGTACAACCATTTTGAAGACCAGCATCTATAAAATTAAAGCATTCTTCAAAATACAGCTTTATATTCTCTTCTGGATCATCCCTGACATTTAACTTTTTATAAACAAAATAACTGCAAAACTGATTTGGTTGTCCATATGCTAAATTTAATATATGAGTGATATTGTTACTTTTCAGTATGTTCAAATCTTGAGCCACATCTTGAGATGCTAAAAATAATAAATTTATTATTATAACATCTTTGAGTTAATTAAAGTAACACACTATCAGTAATGGTATTGAGTGATAGTAATTAGATAAATTTGAGTAACAATCAGCCAATTTATGTCAAATAGATAATAGCAAAATTATCAAATACTGTATTAAAAATAAATGTGAAAATTAAATATTTAATATTAAATCAAAGATTGATGTAGAACTATATTAAAATTAAAATATTTTAAAACATTTCTTTTATGAAATCTAATGACAAATTTCAAATAAGTAAACAAAATAAAATTTTCAATTTCTAAATTAAAAGGCAATTATGATAAAAGAGAGATGCAGATTAATTACTCTATGAAAAACTATTCCTATTTCAAAATAGTTGTAATAAAAATACAATGTAAACAAATATTTGGTTCAAACACAACCAATAACAGACTTATCATTAGTAGTATTAGTATTAGTGGTGGTATGGGTCATACCAATCACTATGCTTAGTTAAATTAAAACATTAATTTTATTTTAGCGTAATTTTTTGAAAATATATTTACAATAATAATTTTAACAATAATAATTAAGACAAATNATTAAGCCTTAATCGAGCCTTATCAAAGGCTCATTAAAATCGCAATAAAATTTTTTCGCGCGGGTAAAAAATTCTGAAAAAATTTGGGGACAAAAAACATTCCAAAAATTCAAAAAAAATTTGGGGGCCCAAACGCCCGCATTTTTCGTAACGCTATGTAACTTGCCCGAGTTTTCTCGGGTTATGGGCTTAAAGGTATAGATAACCGGCACGACTTTGTTGTTAAAGGGAAAGTATGACGTATAGGGGTAAGCCTCTATTAATTTGAGATGGAGAAAATATATTTTAAATTATCTAAATTAAAAATATGATTAAAATTTGCAGCCCGGCATTGAGACCATGTCACAATAAATAATTGCTCGTTAGCATTAATGTAAGATGGAGAAAATATATTTTAAATTAAATAAATTAAAAATATGATTAAAATTTGCAGCCCGGCATTGAGACCATGTCACAATAAATAATTGCTCGTTAGCATTATTTTTATGCTCGGCATACGATGGGGGATTCGGAATGGAACTCGGTCATAATTCAAGGCTACTTGCAGAAATGAAATAGAAACAAAAATATGCCGTAAAACAACTTATCAACTTTACAAACAAGAGTTATAAACAACTTCACTACAACTTCTCAACTTCTAGAGTTGGTATTTTGAAGCTTGAATTGTGGATATCTCGACAATGCATTAAACTCTATAACAACCTTTCTCAAAGTGGGCGATAACGCCCCCTTGTGGGCGCTAGAGGCTTTCAGGGGGCAGTAGAAGGCTCGGTGATTAAATATGACTTTTATTTCTTCTCATTGAAACATTCTTTGATTTCAGAAATAGAATATGGGTCATACCCTATCAATCCTATCCATATAATACAGTAGAGCCTCGATTATCCGACCCCCGATCAACCGACCCCTCGGTTAACCGACCGTCCTAGTCGGCAAATTTCAAATGTCCGCTAGTGATGTGGCGCTACAATATTTGGCTATGTCTTGGCTACTTTAATATTATTTTTACGTGTTTTAGCTGGCAACACTCATTCGACCATGAAAGGGCGCCAGTATTTNTTATCTTCTAATTTTTGGTTTCCATCCAGACAATTAACTTTTTTGTTCGATTTCAGTTCCGACTTTAAACCGACCATCGCCTTTTGGTTGTTTCAAACAATAACAGGTAAGATCTTTATTCTTGGTACAACTAATAATTATCCATGATTGTTCGAAAATCTTTGGACTTTGGTGAATCTCGTCTAAAGCCAATTACCCATCGTGGCCGGGAACGACTGATACCACGGAAGTGATTCGCGTGTTGTGCGTGATATCAGCGTGACTAGCAGGTCGTTGCCGAAAACACACGAGAGAATTTCTAAACCTGTGACGTTAAATTCCTTATTACTGTATGCGGATGAAAAATTGGTTACATCCGAATTTATAAATACATCTTTCGTTGACTTTTCCGTCACCACTTTCCGGTTTGGTAAACGTTCGGTAATTTTTAATCTGATTTTTTTTTTATCTATCGTGAAACTTAAGACCAGATTAGTACGGGTTTCATTCTGATCTGCACGTTGGGAACGGACGAAATCGTAAATCGAAAGTTTTCGTTAAAGCTAGTTATTTGGAAGTGATTTCACACCTTTTGTTTTTTTAAATACAGTACAGTACTTTAAAAGACTACCGGACACTCCGTCATAAAGTCAGCGACAAGCGATTCAGCGCTTCCATCAGACAGAAACGATACATATGACAACTAAGAATTAATATGATTAACTTAAATATTCGATTGTATAAATAACTGCCCGAATGAAAGTTGCTAAAACCATTAGCAATGTTTTGCATTAGATTGTTCTTTTGATTCTTTATTGGTTAGTAAAATGGAATTTCACTTGGGTAAATTATCACTGAATCAAGATAGAAAGTTATTATATGACCTGGCGCTGCGTCATAGATCGGTCTGCCGCATCTTTTGTTTGGTGTTCCAATTGGCACTCTTTTCTCCGTTTTACTGTCGTTTATTTTTCTTAATCTTCACTATGATTTTTGTGTTTCACTTACGCCCAATCTCATGGAACCGTTCTTTTATTTTTTGCGGTTTTTTTTTATTCTGAACTCTCGTCCGATGGTTCCTGATTTAGGGTGTGTGCCATTCGCAGGACCATCCGTGAATGGCATGCATTCTGAGCCAGAAGTCATCCCGTATAGGACCGTACAGGAACTGATTAGCTATTTCTGAAAGAAGAATTTTCTTTTGATTTTTGAAACATATTCCGTAATTAGATATTTTTGAGTAAATATTTGTTTCGCTTTACTAGCCTAAATTTTAGGCCTAGCTATATATATATTTCAAATGTATTTATCAAGTTAATCTTAATACAAAAATATTTATTTAAAATTAAAAGTTTGGTTTGGTTTATTTACGACATGGGCGATCTGCCGAGGAGGATGCCTCCCGGGAGGACTTTCTAAGGGAAAATAGCCCCTATTTAGGTGTTATATACATAAAGAAAACCCAAAAAATTCCGTATGGCCAGCCCTTTGGTGAGGCGTGAATCCGTGACCAACTACTAGTGTTTAATGGTTTTATCCATTAGGCCACTGGTGGGCCTAACATTAAAGGACATCGTGATATAAAGTTAAACATATAAAATTACAAAAGTAATTCTGGTCTTCACGAATATAATTTGCTACTTATCCTTTCGTTTGCACATTACAAAAAACAGTTAAGGCTTAGACTAATTTCGCCATAGTCAATATCATTTATAGTGTTTGAATTGAATAGGATAATTAATAGTAATTACAATTACACTCAACTCTTTGTATCTGTGGTTTTTCCAGAAGATAATTAAAAGTGCTGCAACGACTTGTGTAACTTCCTCCGCGAAAAACATTAGGAATTACTTGCCAAAATTAAAATTTTCTGTGGCATCATCTGTTATGAGATTTTTTTAAAAAAACTTTTATAATATTAATTATTATAAAATGGCAAAAAACTTAATTTTGCGGTAGACATAAGCTTATAAAAATTTTAAATTCTAATAACGAGTAAAATCTTCATTAAGTCGACCCACTGGACCTACGACACGTGACCTCTTCTAGCTCCCTTAACCTTTAATCACCAAAATTTATTAGCATCAATGCCCCTTATACGAAATTTACCATGCCAAATTTTGTTTTTTAATCATTATCCCATCCTGAGATAGTAAACGAAATAGACCCCAACACACACACACACACACACGTAATTTTTCACTTAGTGGTCTTTCCGGATATGTCTAGCCCTGTCCTTCACTACTCAGCCTCTCCATTGTGGGCCTGGCCAAACCCATAATGGGCTTGCTAAAGAGACCTTCTTAGTGCCCACAGAGCAAAAAGAGTTTTTTTTTTAAGCCTATATTTAAAATATGAAATAAAAATATTACAGTTTAGTTAATTATTTTTACGGAAAATTATTTTTAAAATACAGAAATTATTTAAAAATTTACTATTTTATTGTTTACTTTTTAATGCTTTTTTGGTTAGCTGCTGTGGGTGGAGGGAACCGCGCTCGGAATTCCACAAATACTAAGGGTCGAGTGTATTATTATTTAGACGGTAGCATTCTAAGAGAATTTCATTTAACATCTTTTAAAATATAAATTACAGGTATAACCGGCATTCTTTTGTTCGCTATTGTATGTATAATGTTTGTTTTCTCGCATCCTTACATCAGGCAAAAAGCATATTCTTATTTTTGGTCAACCCACAGTCTGTACATTATTTTCTTCGTCCTATGTTTAATTCACGGATTGGCGAGGATCACTGGCGTGAGTATTATTATTCGAAAAAAATTTAATTATTTTATAAATGTATCTTATTTACACATTTTTCAGTCGCCACGTTTTTGGATGTTTGTAATTGGACCGGCGATAATCTTCACTATTGATAAAATCGTAAGTTTGTATACAAAATACATGGAATTGGACATCTTAGAGACAGAACTGCTGCCTTCAGGTAACTCGTTATAAATATTAATGAAATTATTAACTTATCGTTAAAGTAATCGACGTGTTATTAGATTTCTATTGAAATTCATTATCCTCTCTTTATAGCAAATACAAAAATAAACTATTTTTGAACAGATATGCTGTAAACAAATAGCTGTTTGAAAATGGAACTTATTGGGAAGGGAACACGTTTATATATATTTTTTAATACGATCTACTATCTTCTTCTCATCAATATTAGTTACTTATACTACTAAACATACCCGATTATATTTGCCGAGTTTTTTCTTTATTCCAAACGTTTTCAGCTTATTTGGATAAGCCATCTTCAGGCTTTCACATTCATCGTTCTAATGGAACATTTTGTTCGAATTTCATTTGAATTTGAACTTTTAACAACTTATGTATATACAGGAGTAAATAAATAGCTAACAATAATATCAAAACGTGTTGTAACTTAACAAAAACACGAAAAACATAAATTAAAAATAAATGAAAATAAAAAATACACTCTCAAATCGCGTTGCAATTTAACAATGAAATAAAAACAGAAATTATATCAACTTTAAATGAGTCTAAACTACAAATTCCTATAAACTCCAGATAAAAAAAAATTATGGATTATTAAAACCCATACTTTTTTCAATTTTGTATTTCCAAGTCGTTGGTAATGCATTTTTATCTTTTGCATTTAGGCATCTGTCCCTCATTTTACTTTTGTAAATCTCTATTTTTTCCATTTCCATCGCGATGGACGGCGAGTAGATTTTTTTATGTGGAGTTTATAGGAATTTGTAGTTTAGACTCATTTAAAGTTGATATAATTTCTGTTTTTATTTCATTGTTAAATTGCAACGCGATTTGAGAGTGTATTTTTTATTTTCGTTTATTTTTAATTTATGTTTTTCGTGTTTTTGTTCAGTTACAACACGTTTTGATATTATTGTTAGCTATTTATTTACTCCTGTATATACATAAGTTGTTAAAAGTTCAAATTCAAATGAAATTCGAACAAATGGTTCCATTAGAACGATGAATGTGAAAGCCTGAAGATGGCCTATCCAAATAGGCTGAAAATGTTTGGAATAAAGAAAAAAACTCGGCAAATATAATCAGGTGAGTTTAGTAGTATAAGTTATTAATACGATCGTAATTAAGAATTTCCTAATGGTTGATAATTAAGAATTTTTCTTAATTATCAACCATTAGGAAATAAATGGGTTTAAATAAGATTAGTTCTTAATCTTATTTAAACCCACATTTTTTTCCCTACACAAACAATGATTGAGTAGTTAATAATAATAATAATGATGATGATAAATATATACTGTATTTTATATAATGTGTTGAAAAAAATTTGACTCACTCTTAACAGGGCAGAGCAAAGAATCTTGTATGAATATCTAAACGAAAATATATTTCAGATGTAACCAGATTAAAGTTCGCAAGACCACCCAACTTTCGTTATTTATCGGGTCAGTGGGTGAGGCTTTGCTGTACTTCTTTCAGTCCGAATGAATATCATTCCTTAACTTTGACTTCTGCTCCACACGAAAATTATTTGTCCGTCCACGTAAAAGCTCAAGGACCTTGGACTTGGAAGCTTAGGAATTATCTAGATCCCAGCAATTTAAGCGATGCGCCTCTTCCAAAGGTTTGTATAAACATGAGCGTCACGAACGTGCAGTAATTTATATTTTCACAAAGTGGCTTACATTTAATCTTATGTCGTATCGAATTAATTACAGCTACGTTTGGAAGGTCCTTACGGAGGAGGCAACCAAGACTGGTACAAATTCGAAGTTGCGATAATGATCGGTGGAGGAATTGGAGTGACTCCATACGCTTCCATATTAAACGATTTAGTTTTCGGTACCTCGACTAATAAATATTCAGGCGTGGCTTGTAAAAAGGTAAATATTGATATAATTATTTTAAAGCGCTAATTTTATTGATAAATTGGCTGTATCAATTTTATAATTGAAGAAAATAAATTTGTACATAATTTTTACACATTTAAGTTTTAAACATTCTAATTTACGCTAAATTCATTATCTATCTGACCACGAAGTAAACTAGCACTTATTCTAATGAAAAAAATCCGGCAAAGAGTTGCGTAACTTTTCCGGATGTTAAAAGATTTTATTTAAAAAAAACTTTTATATTATTAATCATAATTAATGATGCAACGAAAGTATATTCGGCCTCAGGTCGAATACCGAATATTCGGCCAGGAGCGTCGCCGAATAGCCGAATATTCGGCCAAACTATTCGGCTTGATTAACGCACGTACGAAAATTGGCGGGCAAACCGCATTATGACAAGGATCGCACACCCTGCTCTCCATTGGCCCGCTGTCACTACGCTTCGCCAATCGCGTTAATTCTTGACAGTTGTAGCGGACAGACATGAGCATCATGGCAGTATGTGATAAGCGATGATATCAAATGTAGATAACAATGAAATGACCTACACGTATAAATAACAGAAAAAGAACAGAGAAGGACCGGGAAGTGAAAATGTGAAAATAAATATGAAACTGAGTTGAATATAATCGAACAAGTCGAGGCAGCTTATTGGCACGAAATTCGCGGCCGTCAATGCCAAATAATTGTTCTCATAGACTTCGCAAAGCTAAATGCTTCTAATGAAAGCCACTTAGCGTGCACAGGCGAAAGCCTGGGACCGTTCAGGCTACCGAGCTGTCTGGAACTTCAGTTATAAATAATTTTGTACAATGAAACAAAAAAGTTAATTTTCAAGTTTATAATAAGGGACGATTTCATAAAAACGCTTTACAGATCATTAATTATTTTTTCACATTTTATGACCTAAGTTTCGGTCTAATGTGCCCACGCAGTAAAAATTTTCAAACAAATTTTTTACCCTTTTTCATCCTTTTAGGATTGAATTTCGTAAAATCTTTTCTTAGCATGCCTAAACTTTACAAAAGGAACACACCCTCAAATTTTTAAGTTTCTAGCACCAGTAGTTTTGGCTGGCCGGATGGCCGAGCGGTCAAGGTGGCAGCCTATTGCTCTGGGGGACCCGGAGCGGTAGGCTGCCACCTTTTCGGGGGTGGTCCGTTCGGATATGTCGGGCCCGTCTCTTACCACCCGGCAGCCCCATTGTGGGCCTGGCCGAACCCATCGTGTGCTTGCAAAAAGAGGCCCTCTTAGTGCCCACAGGGTGGAACGAGTACAAAAAAAAAGTCGTTTTGGCTCTGCGATAATTATCCTATCAGGATTTGTTCTTTTATATACGAGTATATAGATGACTAAACTACATAATAAGTAGGTAGTTTTCATTTGATTTGTTACCTTTTTTTGATCTCTTAATTAAAAAATAACTTAGTTATATTACTTTTCTTTTGAACTTTTACATAAATAAACAAAAATGTTGCGCTTTCTCGAACTTGAAATATATATTCAGCATTAATGAAAGTTACCAAAATGATTAATTTACTGTGTTTTTGTTATTTCTTACTCCTGTTTTTAGGTATTCGGTATTCGGCCGAATAGCGGAACATAGTCCGAATACCGAATAGTAACCGAATATTCATTGCATTATTAATTGTAATAAATAAAATTGTATAAACTGTTACGAGATTTTATTATAAAAATCTTTCACTTTCTCGGTTGTAATGTATACATAACAAGGGAAAGTATTGGGATCATGTCAAGTTTAATTCTCATAACTTTTTGCAAATCTCCGCGTTTTCAGACACTTGAAGCTAAAAAAGTAAAAAAAACTTCCATGATATATATTGTGGAAGTTTTTTTATATATATTACATATATATACAGTATATATAAACTATATATTACCTACTATATATATATATAATATATACATAGTAGGCAATAATATACTGTATATAAACTTATATACGTGTGTACACCTGTGTGTTATGAAACTTAACATGGGAATTTTTAAGGAGCATTGATGCGATAAAATTTTTGCGAATAAAAGTCAAGGTGTGGGGAAAGAGGGTCACGTGTCAAATCTTAATTGGGGTCGGACGTAATGAAGATTTTACTAGTTGTTACTAGCATTTACAATTTTTTAAAACTTATCTCTACCCTCAAAATTAAGCTCTATGCCATTTTATATTAATTAACTAGCTGCAAGGACCCGCTTCGCTGGGTTTTTATTTGTATGTAATATAGTTTTTTTTATATATATAAAAGACTGCTTTTCTAAGTAATCTAGAATCTAGCTGCAAGGACACGCTTCGCTGGGCAAAAAGTAACGATAGTGAAGATTAAGATAATTACATTATAGCCAATCTTACCCGTTTTCACAGAATGCAAGAATTAGGTCCCCCGTTTCCAGACTAATTAGAGAA